CTACATGACCTTGGTAGGGTGTTTAACCTCTGAACCTCATCCTTTCATCTCTAACAGAATAATAACAATAATCCTGTCCTCACAGGATTATTATGAGGACTAAATGCATTAATACACTTAATGTACTTAGAAAAGGCCTGGAACAGAACTAAATGTTCAATAAATGTTAACTGTTATTACATTGAATAATACATTATAAACGGGTTCTTCTTGCTGAAACTTCTGGTAAAATTTTATCATATTTTTGTAACCTTTTGCTTGTGAACCTTCACAGATTTAACTCATATTAATATAAGATTTGTTCCCTTAAAATGATGCTACTTTAGAAAATTAATTCTATAATGTCCCTTTCATCAGCTTTCTCTGCATTTTAAAAGCTTTTCAATATATGGAAATTCTCTCCAAGCATGTTCTAGAACCCAAACTCTCCAAAATATGGAAATAAGCATAAACTGTATATCAAAAATAAATATGAAGCACTTCACTGGGATTTCCTGCAAATAGCATAGTGAATTAAATTAGAAATATTAATAAAGAAAAATCTTTTAATATCTCAACTTATAGCACAGTTTTGATAGTACTGTTATAAGAATCAGGCCAATCTAAAACGCAAACATTGAAAATAGCACTGTGTGTATTTAGCAGGCATATCAGAGATGGTTTAGATTTCATTTATATACTTAATTTACATATAGGGTCATCGGAAAAGTCATGATGCATTTTTGCATTGAAAAACATGGAAAAATACATCATGAGTTTCCCGACGACCCAATATAATTGTATATTTATGTTGAATTATTTTGAGCTATGGCTGTCTTGGATTTCAAAGGGGGCAGCAAGAGAATATGTTCTAAGGAGTATTGGTAAAGTTTGGAAATTTACTATATTTGTTTCTTTCCTCTTAATAGATCAATAGAATGTTCTAAAGCGTTTCTTTCATTTTAGTTTTTTCCCCTTCGGTCCATGGGGTTTATCATACAGAAGTGCATTTTAAGAAATTAACACTTAGTAATTATGAGGAAACATTTTAACTTCATTGAAACCAGATGAGATATATTTAATTATTTTTGTAAAAAAAGAAAGTTCATAACTTTTATTATTCTTCTGTATGGTGCATCTTTTATTGAGCGCTTTAGACAATTGATAAGCATTATTCAGTGGCATATGGTCTGAGTCTGACGTGCTTTGAAAAGAGTACAGAGTTCTGATAATGAGGATTCTGTGAAAATGGGAAAACCAGCACAACAGATATGCTTTGAGAAAGTATGGGTTTTTAGCATCTTGAAACAATATATCACACTCAAAGGGACAGAATTGGGCTGCACAATCTGTTAGCTCATTCTTGTCCAATCTGGTCTCCTCCTTTCTTTTGGAGCCAGCATTGTCATCAACTCACTGAATTATATTCTGACTGGAATGTATTTCAGGCACAGAGTAATGTATCTACTTAAATGGAATCCTATCTTCCTACAAAAGCTTTTTGAGTATAATAAATTTAAAATATAAAAAAATTCTATTAAGTTAAAGTAATTGGTTCAACAGTTTACATATGTGCCTTCTCCCCCACCACCCTAAAAAAAGACCACTACTTAGAGGAACATAGATCTGTTTTTTCTTTTATTTATAATATTGAATATTTTCTTTTTGCTTTAACATGTAGTCAGATGTATTTCAAAGACTAACTTATTGGAAAGATACCTGTGCATCACAGCAAATGTTAGTTGAACAGAAATGAACTGTGGAATTAAACTTATAATATCAAAGTGCTTTAATTACCATGATTATTTTTTTTAATTCCCTTTCAGCCTTTCTTAATAAGAATTCAACCTTAGGATCCTAAGGCATCCATTGTATGTAATAAATGAACTTTTCTCCTAACTATCTAATGATACTACCTATCCTTGGAAAAATTAAGAAGATGGTAATTCAGATCTTTTTGTGGGGCTTTATACTCTCATGGAACCAGGGTTAAGAAAGGCTACTCTATAGTATTCAAAATCACTGAGTCTTAATTGTAATATATTGGGTTGTGTAAATACATTGGATGTTACGTTAGAGCTATATTACTTTATGTAAAGGATTAAATGTGATAGTTTTGTAAAGCAATAAGCACGATGCCCGGTACATAAAAAGTACTCAATAAATAATACCTATTATCATGTTTTAAACTTTTCATTATCCTGAGCTCCTGAAAATTATGCTTGTATTATGATGTTTTGCTCAAGATGAAAATTTAATCAAAAATTATATTTTCAAATTTAAACAGGCTGTCCTAATAATAGTATGTTATGCTTAATGATTAACATTATTATAAATTTTCTTTTTTATGATGTTCAAGTAATTCAGAATTCATCCACAGTAACCACGTAATAAATGAAGTTGTTTTTTGTGATTGTCCTCATGAGGATTTTAGGTCTTTGCCAGTTCAGATAGACAAATAGTTCTTTTTATGCATTGATTTATGTGAAAGTGGGGGGAATGGGAATGAGACACTGCTAGCCTTCCCGATGTGAAAGGACAGGATAGTAATGCTTCGCCAAACCTCTTGCCATGGGACGCTTTAGCTTTCCTGTGGTAAATGTTACGTTACTTTTTGAAGGTGGTTGGCATTGCCATGGAATACTGTAAATTATATTATTCAAGTAATAAAAATACACTGTTTAAGCTGTGGAACTGAAAAATCATTGAAACTAATTGTCAGAGCAAGAATATCAGTGAATTAGTTTTTGATAGTATAAATTGAAGATATATTATGCAGTGAACTATTGAACAAAAAATAGATAATAGGCTGTCATCTGAGAATGGCTAACATGTAATTTACGAGACAAGACAAGCTCTTTTCTTTATAGCATGCATTTGTGGTAAGCTTACTAATTCTGTGCTAATTTTAAAGGTAAAGTGGATTTATGTTAATACATTTCCATATTCTTACTTAAAAGTTTATAAAGTAAGTAATGCAGGAATATCAGGTGACTGTACTGTGATTATAAAACAGAATGAACTGTTTCTACATTGCATTCAGTTCAGGGAAAGTGGGTAAATAACATTTCTGATGTGTATGTCATTAAAATATTACCTAGCCTATACAGTGCTTTTTATACATTAATAATTATTATAAAGCCACACTTCATCTTCCTATTGTTTGGATTTTTGGTATAAAATGACTGTTCCCACATAAAAAATGTAGAAAATGTTTTACCATTGGAGGGAAAAATGAGTAAGAATGAAAACAGTTGGAATGCTTCATTATATGGATATGCTTGTCTTACGCATTTTTACTGTAGCAGCAGCTAAACTTTCTCTAGATAGTTTGTGAGCTACTTAACTGGTTAATGCACAGTCAAGAGAGTAAGTGTATTGCAAGTATACTTTTGTATATTAGAGGTGATTAATAGTAAAAGGAAAAAAGGAAATGAAATCTGAAGACAACGTCCATTTTTAATATTTCTCAGTCCTCGGGCATACAATAATTATACATGAACTTACTTCCAAGTTCCTCTTCCACTGTGTTGTTCACTCTTGGACTCTGGTAGGGAAGCTACAGACATAACTAAAATGCGTCTTTTTAAAACATGCTCATGTACTTTCAAACCACTTGATCCCTGTATTACTCTCCTCAAGGAGGTGCCCAGAAAGGACTTCCCCATGTGGCATCTTGTGTCAGTGTCATCCTCTGCTTTAAGGCCCGATAGAGTTCTGCTCTTAAATGGAAAGAGAGTGGACTTTCTGTTTAGTTCTTTACAGGGAGTAAGTTTTGTAAGAAAATAAATTTGCTGCGTGTTGTCATAAAATCTGTGTTGCATTAAGTATTTTCCAGAATGGAAAGTGATAGAATATTCAGAAAGTATAAAATATGAGTTTCAGAAACCATTTAGTCATGAAAATTTAGTGAGTTAAACTGAGGCTGTATATTAAATCTGTTTTAAAATTCAAAAACTGGAATATATAAGAATTCTGAATGTAATAACATTAGCATTTAAAGTAAGTGAGGTAAGGAATTATTTAACCACAATTGCTAAAATAATTGATTAACTATTTAGGAAAAATAAACTTAGATATCTACCATACTTTCTATTACAAAATAAATTACAAGTTAATTATTTAAATGTAAAATATAAAACTATTACAGAAGTTGAACTAGTAGGTGAATATGTATTTGATCTCAAAATGAGAAAAAGTTTTCTAAGCAGTGAAACATATGGGATCAATTTAAAATTTTAAGTCTGTAAAGAAAAAAATAAATTAAATGAAGGACAAAGAAAAAAACTGAATGAAAGCATTATAGCACATGATGGACAAGGAGTTAATACCCTTAATGCATAAGACCTATCACAAGCCAATAAGAAAAAACTCTATCACATCCACCTAAAAAATAAAAAGATGATTTACAAAGCAACACAGCCAGTAAATATGAAAAATATTTAACTGCACTATTGATCAAAGAAGTGAGAAGTAAACAAAAGTAACACTGGTTTGATTTTTTTAAATGATGAAACTGAGGCTCAAAGAGATTATCTGGCTGGCTTGGGTCACAAAGACAGTGAGAAAACCTGAATTTGAACAATTCCTGTCTGTGTGATGGGATTAAGACTGATTTCTTTTCCATTACTTTTTGTTCATATTTTCTAAAGTTTTAGCACTAAGTCAAAAAGATAGGTTTTTCTATATCAAAATATAAACAGAGACATTGAAACATTTTGGGCAACACTGCATCCCTTTAATAGTTGTTACTCATTAAGGGGATATTCCACTTACCCACAGGTTTTTTTCCTTGATGCATAAAAATAAGAGGGGTAACATTTAAACTTTAATTTATTTAGAATAGATATTCTCACTAAGTAAATATTCTTTTCAATTAATTTAATCATAACTGTAGATGGGGCATATATGTTTATGCTCGTAGTGTCATAAGCAAAAAGCAAAATTATTCAAATACAGTCCTAATATGAAAATTTTGAAGCTAATGCACCTACATCTTATAATTGTGCTTTTCTTTGCAGATGGAGAACATCATTGGAACACTAAGAGATTCCAACCTGAAGCTCACACTAGCTTTCGGAATAGGAATGCATCATGCGGGACTACATGAAAGGGACAGGAAAACAGTAGAAGAACTCTTTGTAAACTGTAAAGTGCAGGTATTTTTTTTCCATGAGCAGATATTTAAATGTAATTTAAAAGTTATGTTTCAGTTAGATATATTATCTTTTATTTTTTAGGTTCTTATTGCTACAAGTACGTTAGCCTGGGGTGTGAACTTCCCAGCTCATTTGGTAATTATTAAGGGAACAGAATATTATGATGGGAAAACAAGACGTTATGTGGATTTTCCCATTACAGGTAAATGTTTTTTTAATTTACAGATACTTTAAGCTTCTGTTTGTGCCTTAATTATTTTTTAAAGGCTTAATAATTTAAACTTACATGAATTAAATTTTAGAACATTGATCACATTTAAGATACGATGAGAAAATTGTAAGTTTTTATTTTCTAATGCAAATATTATTCAAAGTATTGGCTGTTTTATTTGCTTTTACTTACCCAGTCTTACATTTACTCAATTTGTCAATAAACATCAAAAGCATAACTAATGGTTTCAAATACATAAATAAATAAAAGTACTGGTTAGTAACAGATACTTAATAAATTACTCTTAAGCATTGTAATATTTAATTTTAAATCTATTTCACTGGAAATGATGCTTCCCTGGGACTTCTAGAACCAAAGCACTTGTTGCTACAATCTGGGCATGGACAGTCTATTGACATATTTTAAAACTTGATAAAAGCATTTCCAGTGGGTTCTGAAGTGAGAAATATACTCAATGTGTATTTCCACTCAATGAATACATGTAAATGCTGTATTTTTTCTAAGTCATTACTTACTTCAGAGATACCTGCAGTATAAAAGAAAAGAAATTTATACCATAGGTGGAAGGCGAGTGAGGCCTAAATGGACCCATTTTTCATGGGGAAAAATGATTAAATGACTGTGCTAAAAAGATTTTTCTATATGTGTGTTATTTTGTCTTTTTAAATTAAAATAGTAATACCTCTTAAACAGCATTTAACCAAAGGAAACTTTTTCTTACTTTTATAAACAGAGAGAACTTTTTGGGGACTCAGTTTTCTATCATAGTGATTTGATTAATCATGTGGGAACTCAATAGTAGGAACAGAGATACAGCATCCAAGTTCTTGAGATACTGTTTCCTTTGTTATTTTATTGTATTGTACAAACATGCCATAATCAATAAATATACCCTGTGTCCTGTGCCACATTTCAGAATACCTCTTGTTCTGCTTTTTATAGATGTACTCCAGATGATGGGGCGTGCTGGGCGGCCTCAGTTTGATGACCAAGGCAAAGCTGTCATTCTGGTTCATGACATAAAGAAAGACTTTTATAAAAAATTTCTTTACGAACCTTTCCCAGTGGAATCAAGGTAATTTTTGCTATAAATTATTTTAAATGAATTCATGTCATAGCAAGTTGATATTTTTTTGTGGTTACATTTTATTAGATAAAAATATATCTAATGAGCAAAACTAGTTCAAAAGAATTATTTGAAGTGAAACTGAATATAATTATCTCTATAAGACGACATTCAATTATAATTTTCGTTTTTAAAACTTCTTAAAGGAAGCAGTGTAAGTGCAGTGTTCAGTCACATTGATTCTGGAGCCAGACAACCGGAGTTCATATCTGAGCTCCACCGTTTGCTTGATACTGAGCAAATTATTTGATTCCTCAGTGCCTTAGGGCACCTGTGTGTAAAATGGAGATAATAGCTTTCCTAGCTATCTCCTAGGGATACTGGTAATAACCAAATGTATAGTTCTTAGAACACTATAACATAGTAAGCATTTAATAAAATATTAGTTTGGTGTGCATCTTTGTGGTACAGTTAATAAATAAATATCCAAAATAAAAGGACTTGTAGTGAATAATTTAGACTGGTGGCCTGTTTCAGAATTATCAAATGCTTCTTTGTGGGCCCAGTAACTACTACCCCTTTGACACAGTCTTGCCTCATTTTCTCAGTTGAAAATAACCTTTTCTCCTTCAGATTTACACATTTTTCATTTCTAACATTTATCACTTGCTACCTTTTATCAGTCTTTTTGAATATACTACATCTCCTTTACTATATTCTAACTAAGAGAGACAAAACATGTTTTTAAGTTATACCACAAATAGTTATTGAAGTTTTTTATTGTTATTAATGCTACTAATGTTCATTTCTTGAAATTTGGAAAATATGAAAACATCAAATATTGTGGAATATAGCTAACACTGTGCTTAGAGAAAATTTATGAGTGTAAGTGTATATATTTAAAAAGAATGAAAAATCAATTTTTAGTATCTATTGCAAGAATTTTGAAAAAAAATTAGCAACTTGAACTCAAAGAAAGTAGAAGAAAGATAAGAACAAGAATTAATGAACTGAAACAAACATACATTAGAAAAAAATCAGCAAAGCCAAAACTTAGTTCTTTGAAAAGAAAAATGAATTGATAAACCTTTAAGTCTGATCAAGGAAACAAAGAGAGAAGTAACAAAATAATATCAGGAATCAAAAGACATTAAAAAGAAAATAAGATATTATGAAAAACTTTATGCAAATAATTTTTTAAATTTGAATCAAATGATAAATTTTTTTTAAAAACTTACTAAAACTGACACAAAAAGAAATAGAATACCTAAATAGTCTCTTATCAGTCAAAGCAATTGAATCTTCAATTTGAAGTCTCTTCACAAAGATATCTTATGACCCAGATGCTTCATTAGTGAATTCTTCATAGCATTTAAGGAAGAAATAATATCAGTCTTACAGGAACTCTTTCTAACAGTAGAAAAGATAGGAATATTTGCCAACTTGTTTTATGACACCAGAATAACCTTGGTACTAAAACCTGACAAGTTTAAGTTAAATTTACAAGAAAAGAATGTAACAAACCTGTATCTCTCATGAATATAGATGTAGAAATCCTTAAAAAAATTAGCCACTCAAACCCAGCAGTGTAAAAAAAGATAATATATTACAACTAACTATAGTTTATTCTGTAAATACAAAGATGATTTATTACTTGAAAATAAGTGAATGTAATTTACTGTATTAGCAGGAAAAAATTAGAAAAATTATGATTACCTCATAGATGTAAAAAAAGCATTTGGTAAAATTTCACACCCATTCATAATAAAAGCTCTTATAGCAAACAGGAATGTAAAGGAATGTCCTTAAACTGGTAAAAAATTATCTATAAAAAAAGTTTACATCAGTAAAAATTTAACTAAAAATTTTAAATTTCTACCTTGATAAGACTGTTAATGTTTTATCTATTACAGTGTGTTCTATAGTTTATAAATTAACTTCACTATTAGTGAACATTTAGAGAGTTTCCAATTTTTTCCTCTTGCATACAATGTTGCAGTGAAGTATTTTGCTTCCCTATCCTAACATATAAATGTTTCTCTAGCAGGTGAGAATGGGAAAGTGACATTGCTATTCATTGTGATTGTTCAAATAGATATTGCCAAATTGCCTTCCAAATGACTATATGGATTTATGCTCAGCCAGTGATAAATTGAGAGTAATATAACAACTTTTTTTCATTTATTTTATTATGGGTACTTTCTCATTTTCTTAAAACATCCTTTGCTAAAATTATTTTTAATACCTGCATTTTGTTACCTATATCATCATTTACATAACCTTTTGTTGTACATTGCTTCCCTATTTTGTTTTTTACATAAGAAACTAAAATGAACATTTTGTTATGCCAGTCTTTCAACACATCTGATCATCTTTGTATACTTTACAACACCTAGTACAATTATTTCGTATATAACTAGGAAGTTAATATTCAAGGAATAAATGAAGGGAATATCTTTGCTCTGTCATAACTCTAACCCCAGTCTTGCCAAATCTCCTTACATCGTTTCAACATTATTCCACACTTACTGCCATACCCCATAAGAATACTCTTCCCTGTTCTCCAAGGTATATCTTCTGTGGTTCTGATCTTAACTTTGGCTCTCATCTTGCCCGCCTATAAGTTCCTAGCTCTATTCCTGTTAGCCTATGCTTATTTCCATCTAGGGATTCCTTTCCCCCAAAATTATATACAAAATATGCAAAGTATACAAAACACATTATTTATGTATCTTGGAACATAACATCTGAGTCTTGACTATGTGAGATAAAGTGTGCTTCATTAACATCCATGTATGTTTCCCATGTCTTGCTCACTACACAGTTTATTAGGAGTGCTCTCTGACCATTTAAATGCAGAGATTGCCGGTGGTACAATAACATCTAAGCAAGATGCAATGGACTATATCACTTGGACTTACTTTTTCCGACGTCTTATCATGAACCCCAGGTAAGCGCAGGGCAACTGTTTATTACTTTTTTCTTTTTTTTTTTTTTTAAGCTGAGCCATCCTGCCACCTGTTGGTAGCTCAGCGGCTGCTCAACTCGGGCCAGGACTCGAACCGCTGTTGCTCAGCTCAAACTCTTGAGCGAGCTCTTAACCAACTGAGCCACTCGGCCGGCCCTGCAACTGTTTATTTCTGTTTTGCACTGAAAGAAAATATGTTTGAAAGTAATACCGGTAATCTCTAAATTCAGATACACAGCACAAAAGTCAGAACTTTGGATATTCTAGACGTATGAAGTTTCCCAGAGAATCAGATGATGTCTCAGATGTGATCATAATATATGATCACAATATATTATGATATATTAGAAAATGAATAATCGTGTGTATTTATTTTAGCTTATTTTAGTTAATTTCGGATACTCTTGAGGAGTTTGCTGTATTGTTAGGGAGACAGGACAGCTGAAGTCTTTAAGGAATGTGCTGAACCACAGGTGGTGACTGACTGTGGTGCATTTGGCTCCTTAAAATAGTAAGGTGTAAGCATTTAAAAGTTAAATCTATAGTCCTTAGTTTATTTACTGAGTGCCTACTATGTGCTGGGCACTGTTCTAGGCATTTTGAAGATACATGAGTAAACTAAACACAAAATTTTCTGCTTTCATGGCCCCATGTTCTTTTAGTAGAGACAGTAAATTTTAAAGTATGTTAGAAGGTAATGAGTGCTTTGAAAAGAAAACAGAAAAGAACAAGGTAAGGAAGACTCGGGGAACCAGAAGGTAGAGTGGGTGCGGGGAATCAGAGTGGGCCTAGTTAAAGGTGCTAACGAGGGAAATGGGGAGTTGTTCGGCAAACTTTCAGTTATAAGTTCTGGGGTTATAATATTCAGCATGGTGACTATCATTAATAATACTGTATTGTTTTTAAATTAAAAAATGTTCTGAGATTTGAACAAAAATATGAAAAAAGTGCAAAGGTTGACCACGTGAATATCTAGGGAATATTTTAGGCCAAGAGACCAGGAGAAGCTCTAAGGCAGGCGTGTCTGGTGTACTCAAGGCACAGCAAGGAGGGCGTGGAGCTGAGGTGGATGGAGTGCAGGGCAGTGAGGAGCAGGAGAGGAGCTTAGCGGGACTCACTGGGAGTACAGGGCACGTGCAACCTGAGGGACCGCGGTCAGGACTTTGACCTTCATTCTGGGTGAAATGAGAACCAATGTAGGGATTTTGAGTAGAGGACTGACAGGATCTATTCATATGATGAGACAGGCCAATAATAATTTAATGTTATAAATTAAACTTCCCTGTTGAAAGACAGAAATTCTTAGACTCATTTTTCTAAATCCAGCTAAACATGATTTATAAGCAACATGTTAAATCAAAATGATATAGACAAGTGGAAAATTAAGAAATGAAAGAAGATATGAAGGACAATAACAAAGAGAAAGCAAGAGCTGTAGGATTAAAATCAGACAAAACGAAATTCAAGACAAAAAAGATTAAAAAGGACAAAAAATGGTTTATCTTGATAACAAGAACAATCACTAAAAAGTTACAGTTGTTTACAAGTTTTTAGGTAACTAAAAACAGAGTCAAAACATATAAAGCAAAAATCAGTAAAAATCCAAGACGTTAACTAAGTTACAGTTATGTTGAGAGATGATATCTGTTTATATTCTCATGTGTTATATATATATGCAAATATACACATATATGCATAGAAAGATACATATTTATATGTATAAATATATGTAAATACACATACTTATATACATTAGTTTGTTCAAATATATAAAAACACATGTACTGGTGCATCATGAAATATAATATATTCTAAATTGAGTTCTGGATTCAATTTGTATGTTCAGTTTTACTCTGTTTTCCCTTGAGAAAGCTTTTAAATATTTCTGGGGGAAAAAAATGTTGTGGTAGTTTCAGCTGTCCCTGTAACCACTTTCATTATTTCTGTCATTATTACTGCTGCATAATCCGAACATAAAAAAACATGGTGCTGTAACAAATGACTTCCCAGTACTGACAGTTATAGCAGCAGCATTTCAATACTGATGAAAAATTTCCCAGCGAGATCTCTGGCTAGGTTTACATAAACCAAACAGGAAATGGCTGCCGCTATTCACATTAAATCCAAACTGTTTGGTGTAACTTTATCTATGTTTTACATTACAATAAAATCTCTTATATTCTCGATTGGTGAAATTTCATCCTTATTAGGTTGGAAAAAGATAACTTGAGGTTTCATATGTGATACTTTTATTTCTCCTTTGATAAGATCTTTTAAAGATACTTTTTTTAAAGTTTCACTTTTTGATTGTTTAAATTTAATGAACTTTGTAAATTTTTATGATAGGGAGAGGTTTGTCATGACTTTTTCCCAATGGACTGCTAATAGAAGTTAGCTTGTCTAGCCCATGTGCTAGATGCAGTCAGTATCAAACTGCCTTTGACTTTCACACCTCTCAGGGGACTAGTAATTGTTGTGTTCAAACAGCCTGTAATTGTGATCCCGCTGGCTTTCTCAGTACGCTTCTGGCTATTAGAATCATTAAACAACTCAGCACCTGTTAACAGCATTGTAAATATTCAACCCTGCTTGTGTGCAGGTTGAGTCCAATATAGAGAAATCTTACAGAGCTCAGCCTCATAAATTAGAGCTTCTGACAAGTCAATTATTGTGAAACTGGGTTTCTCTGTGAAATAAATGAAATAGCATGCTGACAAAAAGGTAGGCTGTCTGTTTATGGCAAAGAGAAGATAATGATTTGATGATTCTATGCAGTGAGCATGAAAATACATTGTATCCTTTGTCTGTAATTAAACAGTTGTGTAATATTTCTGTTTAAATAATCAGTAAATTATAAATTTTGTACCGTGGAGACTGCAACATGAAAACAAACCTTTTTACTTAGCTGTTGCATGCTTTTTCAAGTAAGTACAGTGATTATTGAAATAATGATATGTAATGTTTTAAGCTAAATGCTTGTAATCATTTAGGCTAGAAATTGTACGATGACTGAAAAGCTTATGTGATCGACGCGAAGGCCAATAATGCTATTAATAAAGATCATATAAATATAAACTTCATCCTTTATTCACAGAAAAGTGTCAGAATTTATTACCTCTCAAATTTCTGTTGCCTAAAATATAATTCACATTTATTTTTATTATTCAACAGTGTCATGTAAATTGTATGTCTAATTTAGATGCAGTAATAATATCTTACTTTTATAAGTATTTGAAAATTTTTTAAGTAACTTGGAATCTCAGTCGAAATATTAACAAAGAATAATTGGTATAAATCAGTGATGTTACATCATTAACAAAAATAGATGCATTTTGGTATTCGTGTTTGCTGCATAGGAGACAAATATTTTAATGATTGAGATTTTACTATTCTTGAATATAATATTTTAACTAGCATGCCTTATATTTAAAAGCTGTCACTTTTTAAAAATAAATAAACAAAAGTTATCGCACCATAATAACTGACAAAAACAATTTTAGGGATTTTTAAATTCTAGGTTAGCCCCAGATATTGTAAGTATAAAAGTGTTGATACTGAATAAATTTTATGTCAGTTCAGTTACTTAAATTGAGTTTTGTATTTCTTGTCTTATGTAAGTCAATAATAATATTGGTCAGTACATTAGAAAAGAACTATATTAGGAAGAAATATCAGTGGAAGGTTTTTAAGATATTCTGCTAAAATGTCTGTTAATTTTTAGCAAGTTAGATTATGAATAATATTTTAATGTAGTCATCAAATAATTTGGTATAGTCTCTGAGACATGATTTTAGTTAATTTTTTTGCAATTTAAATGTTTAAGAACTATTTACGCTGATTGTACTTTATCTGGATAAAAGCCACAAATTAGTCTAAAAATTTTCCCAAAAGATTTAAATAAACAAACATTAGAAGGAATATTAGCCCATTAAAATATATCTTGTAAATACATAAAACAGTGAATAAAATAAATATAAAAAAGAACCTACAATTTTTGCAGGAAAGTTTTTATTATTAATGGTTTTAAATGTTATTTGTAAGTACTATATCAAATTTATTTATGAAGGCATAAAATGGTAAAGTTGGCATTCCAGTTATGTTTATAAAGGTGGCTTGTGGTAATCAGTAGCAACGTCCATGAGATTTTTTTGTTTTCAAGTGGCCTGATAAATTTATGGATAAAAATAGAATTTTTAGCTTTGTGTTTTTTATGGTAATATTATTTTCATAATGTCTTCCTTCTGTAATTTTAATTGCATAAAGAGTAGCTTAATTCTTGCTCTATAAATGGTGTTATTTATTCAGTGTCCTAGGCACATTTTCACTAGTTTTTCCCATTTAGAAATAACTTTATCAATAGTATATTTATCCAAACACCTGAAAAATGTGTTGGAAAATGTATAGGCTTATCAAGACAAATGAATATGAAATACACAGGGGATACGTTCCAAGAACCCCAGAGGATGCCTGAAACCACAGATAGTACCAAAGCACACATACTATGTTTATTCCTATATATACACACCTATAATAAAGTTTAATTTATGAATTAGGCACAGTAAGAGATTAACAACAACTAAAAATCAGACAGTTATAACAGTATACTGTAATAAAAGTTACATGAATGTGGTCACTCATTTCAGGGGATTTCTTGCTAAAGTCTTTGTACAGGCTCAGTGCTTTCTGGCGCAACACATTGACATCAATTGGAACTCATTTTCATATCTGCCACCCACATATTTAATGCCTTTTTTACCTTAACTAAGCACTTATCACATACTGTGGCTCTAATTTTTGCAATTGCAACAGCAAAACTAGCACATATTTCTTTTTTCTTCTTCACAATTTTAAGGATGCCAAATTTCTGCTTATCATAGGTCTTAGCAACCTCAGCATATGATTTTTGTTCCTAATTAAATCAGGAACTTTCACCTTTTCACTTAAAGGCAGTACTTTATAGCTTCTCTTTGGAATATCTGAATTGTCAGTATCACTACTCCTGTGCTTAGGGGCCATTATTAAGTAAAATTAGTGTTACATGAACAAAAGCACTGCGAGACCACGATGGTCCATCTGATAACCAAGATGGCTATGAAGTGACTAATGGGTGGGTAGTGTATACAGCATGGATAATGAGATGATTCACATCTCAGTGGGACTTAGTGGGAAGGTGCGAGATTTCATCACACTACTTAGAATGGCACACAATTTAAAACTTCTAAATTGTTTATTCCTGGAATTTTCTATCTAATATTATTGGACGCCTATCGACCATGGGTGACTGAAACCTCAGAAAGCAAAACCATTGATACACAGGGCCTACTGTATAAAGACTTACATTGCAGAAAGTTTGGCTGATAAATTTCATTTGTTGGGAAAAAATGAAAGACAAAATATATTGTTAATACAGTTGGCCCTTGAACAACGTGGGGGTGAGGGGTACAAGCCTCGTTCAGTCGAAAATCCACGTATAACTTTTGGCTGCCCCAAAGCTTAACTACTAATAGCCTACTGTTGACCAGAAGCCTTACCTGTAACATAAACAGCCGGTTAATGCATAGTTTGTTTGTTACATGTATTATATACTGTATTCTTACAATAAAGTAAGCTAGAGAAAATAAAATGTGGGTTTTTTGTGGGGTTTTTTTAAAGATTTTTATTGGTGATTTGGGGAAAGGGGAACAGACAAGTTGCTGTCCTTTTGTTCTTCAGTCTAGTTGTGGAGGACGTGGCTTCACTGGCCCAAGTTGGCACCATCATTGCGCTCTTCCCAGGCGAGGCAGATCAGTCACCGGCTTCTGGACAGCCGCTCATTGCGGCTGCTTGCCGCTCACGCTGGCTGCTGGCTACACACGGTAGCCCATGGTAACCCACTGCCACAGGGGCTGCAGCCTACGCCGTCGCCGGTGACTCACGGCAGCCCAGCTCCAGGTTGAGCCGTTGTTCAGCACCTTAGCTGCAGAGAGCAGTGTCACTGGCCCTCATATGTGGGATCCGAACCGGGGCTCTGGCGTCCCAAGCCAGCTCTCAACCATCGTGCCAGTCGGCTGGCCCAGAAAATGTTTTTTAAAATCATAAGGAAGAGAAAATACATTTACAGTATTTATTGAAAAAAAAAATCCACATGTAAGTGGACCCATGCCATTCAAAGCCATGTTGTTCAAGGGTCAACTATAATTTGGGATAGTTTTAGGGGTCTGTCTCTTTTATGGGGCTTTGAATGTCCAGAATTTTTATTTTCATCTCTAAAGCAGAATACATTATTCTAATTAAATACTTCTTCTTAGTCATTTTTCAGGATAAAAGAAATATTTTCTGTTGGCTTCTAATGCTGGTTTTTCCCTTTGACATATCCCTAGTTAGATAAAAGTTTGTACATTTTATTTAAATTAATGACAGCACTGGTTTCAATAGTTATTTATCTGTTGTTCACTGGTAAATATTGCTTTATTTTGGTCTATGTCACGAACTTTTCCAGGAAAGTCAATAATTTCTCTACATACAAAATTAAATATAACATTCTTTTTTATGAAAATTAAAATCTTCAGGATATAATTATGATTTACAGTTATTTTCCCAAATAAATAGCCTGTTATTATTCCTTACTTAGTGGAGACTCTCATATTTGGTTATACCTAGCCATTTGTGCTAACTTCTCTTTGTAATAAAAATATATCCTGCCATGATTTAAGACCTGCTTTGTATTTTAAAATAATTTTTATAGTATACTAACCCCAAATCTTGCCCTTTGAAAAAAGAAAAAAATTACTATACTTGACAGACTGTGGTTTCCTTTAGGCCTCTGCCATTTGAGATTACAGCACTTTCTTCCCAAGCTGTGCATGTCCCCTTCCTGGTCCTGTACAGATGGAAAACCTTGGTGCTGGGGTTTCAGTGATGAGTCTCTTGTCTAAGGCCACTTTCCACTCCTGTTCCTTGATTTGGATGGAGGTAGGGCATCCAAACTCTCCATACTGACTAGGGTACAGAGTTAACCCAGCAGGAAATAGAGGTCTGACGTGCCTGTGGGGGCAATCCCTCACCTTTTGGATCTATTCCCAGACATAGATTTCTAGTGATTTTTGAGATTTGCCAAGAACCTCTCGGAGTAACAGAGAGGAGCCTTCAGGTGAATTGCATGTCGTTAGGCTTTTACTTGGAGAATATACCGAGCTGAACCTCTGTGTTTTCTCTGTCTAGGAGCTTACTTAGACTGCTGTATTGTTAGCCTGATGACGTCCCTTCCAGTCTTTAGGGTGACATTTGTTCCTTAAGCATTATGGGAACAGTAATTGATGAAATTTCCCCAAAGAGCTCATCTACCATCCAAATCAATAGTTCTTTCAGTTTTCTAATGTAATTGAGAATGGGTGTTTACATGTAAAAGAGAATTATATATTTATATACATATATATGTTCCTCACCTTTTCTAATCTAGTGCATAAGTTCAGTTTGCTGTAGATGTGTAAATTGAAGTAATGTCAGTTTTAACACTCCAAAGTTAGTATCTTTTTAATGTGCTGCTGAATTTGATCTACTTACCTTACATATTTTAATGTATTGTCATCAGTGTCAACAAATTTTACTATGGGGATTTGATCTATAAAATAGAAATGGTATTCACAATTGCTTTATTTCTTTGAATTGCTGTAAATGTAATTGTTTTTTGAAATTCCAAAAAGAATGATGTGAAATTGAAGCAATGATTTTAATAGAAGATATCTTGAAACCTTGCTTATTTTCTAGCTACTACAGTTTGAGTGATGTGAGCCATGATTCTGTGAACAAGTTTTTGTCGTATCTAATTGAGAAGTCCCTGGTTGAATTGGAACATTCCTACTGTATTGAAATTGGAGAGGTATGACTTAGTCACATACATTTCAATTGAAAAGATTGCCCAGCATTTTAAGAGTAGAGCTTTGGCTTCTAATGATAACCAAAAAGTTTAACAGAGTTGTTGCAATAATAACTTCAATATGAACTATTAATTTTCTAACTGCATGCACTTTTATTGTACTTTTTTTTATGTCATTTTACCTTTTTTTGAAATAGGATAATCGGAGCATTGAACCTCTGACATATGGCCGAATTGCCTCTTATTACTATTTGAAGCACCAAACAGTTAAAATGTTCAAGGAGCGTTTGAAGCCTGAATGCAGCTCGGAGGAATTGCTTTCAATTCTGAGTGTGAGTTTCATTACATTATTACATTGTTTTTTTATATAAAGAGATAATACATTATATATTCCATACTTTCTCTTTTAATTTGGGTCTTAATTGTTGCCACCCAGTTCCTCTTGAAATTTAACAGAAACTGTTAATGTCCTTTCATCTGTCAAACAAAATCACTAAAGCAGCATATCTGGACCAACTTCCCTACAGATAAGATGACCACATAATTTATCATCCAAACTTGGATCCTTCTGAGAATGAAGTGGGGCACTATTAATATTTAAGCCAGGATAATAGGTATAAACTGGGCTATCCTTGGCAGCCAGGTGATCACCCCATCCTTCAATATAATAATCTCTCTGAATTATAATTGAAAGCCTTTCTTATTGCTTCTTTAGGATAATTCTTCTTGAATCCATGGTGTTACTGAATTTTCTTTACGTAAGGATCCACATGATTAGTTCTCTTAGAGTTAATGCCAGAAAAGCTGCTTAACTCTCTATCTCCTCCTCTTCTAAAAAAAAAAATACAACAGATTTATCCCATGGTGAAAAACTATATTGTGTTCATTTTCATTTTCTTGCCAAGAAGCTAAGAACTAAATTTAATATTGAAGTTAAAATTACTATTAGGAGTATCTTTTTCATCTTCCTTTCTGCATACTATATATGCCTTATTTTTTTTTGTCCTTGTGTAGTTTAAGTATAATAATATACCATAAAACTTTGTTGGCACATTAGTCAGGATATACATTACAAGTAGTATTGTATGTTATTTTACCCCTCAGGAGTGTTGGTGCTTTTTTTTTTTTTTAAGTTCAGAACCATTGGATTAGTCTTTAAGGTCTTTCCCTTATAAATTCACTGATTTTAATGTAGTTCATTTACTAGCTTTTTTCCTGTTCTTTCCTATTGCTTTATCATTTTTAATAGGCTTCAAAATTCCATTCACAGTTTTTCACCTTTTCACTGTTTTCCCTTTGAGAAACTAGTGGGTACATTTTGTGCACAGCATAGGGCCAACTACATTTGTAGTGAGTCAGAAAATATTTGTTAATGAATTGATGGATCTATGGATCCTATATTAATCAGTTTTCTATCATTTGCTCTACAGAAAAGAGTAGAGAATTAAAGTATATGAGGCAGCTCTTGAAAAAATGATTTTTTTTGTAAAATTAACTCATTTCTGAGGTAAGAGTATAAAAAAATATGAACTTTTTAGATCTCTAAGAATAAGGTTTTTATCATTTCCCAGTTTAGATTCATAAAAACAGAATTTATCTGGGGGAAAGACAGTAAAATACATGGTTAATTAATTTGGGAAAGCATCTTAAACTAGTATCTGTTAGATTTAAGAATGAATTTTTTTTCAAATTTACCTACCTTGACATATTTACCAAATCTAATATTTAAAAGCACTGTCTACCTTGGGAACTCATATAAGTATAGCTAATAATAGGTGCTATTGTAGGAAATTTATACTGTACGGGTTCTTAACAGCTGCACTAGGCTACCTCTCATGTCACACAAACGCGCACGCGTGCACACACACACTCTGAGGTGAAAGATACCGAAGTTGCGGGGGTACAAAGTATGTGATGTTAAGACTAAATGCACATTGTTTGTAAAGGAGGTTTGTGAAAACCATATGCCTATTACATTCTCTATCCTCCTCAACCCCACGAGAAAAGCCCAAAATGTATACAGCACCAAGGCAATTAAGTCATTATTTTCTTCAGTCTTCTCTATGAAAAGGCATTGATCAGAACAAGAGGCCTTTCCACATCCTTTCAGCAGCCTGTTTCTTTCCAACAATACACTGCCTAAAACAAGTTATGCTGATCTCATGGTATATTTTTATTAAAATAAAGTCAACTCTTTTATGAATAACTGAATAAAACAAATCATCTGCAAGCATATGTAAGACAAACTCAAAAGTGCATTTGTATAGGTGTTGTACCTATTTATAATTTCCATAGCAACAGTGATGTAATCTTTTTATTTTGTGGTATATAGTCCAAGGAACTCTCAGCATCTGCCAGATAGTGTCTAAGTCTGTAATATCTCAGTGAGACTTTTTTTTGAATGAAGATACTGGGGCATTAGAACTGTAGGGCTCACATTGACAAGATCTGCAGGTACCTCTGTGTGTTAATCCCTGGTCTCGGGATTATTGTCCATTCACAAGAGAACATATGTATACTAACAGAGAAACATTCAATAATAAAGCAAGATCGTGTTTGAAATAAGTACAGAACAATTTCTAGAAATCATTCTTTCATTGAGAAGTATTTTTAAATGTTTTTTGTGACCACACCGAAGATTCTGAAATAACTCACATAGCCTCATTCTCTTCTCTACTCTCACCTCCAAAAATGTATATTAATCTCCTTGTGGTTTTGAAACAAGAAGGAAGAAGCTGTCGAGAAGACTGAAGCCATAGAGAACAGAATCATAAGCACAACAGAGCAAAGAAAAGCAGTGGAGGGGTAGCACTAGTGTTTCAAAGGCCTATTTCCATTATCATTGTTTTTGTTATTGAAATGCTTAATCATGTCACATGGTTTTGAACAATTCAGTGTTATAACTTATTCACTATCAGCATCTCCTTTTGCCAAGATACAGCCATTGATGTTTCTAAAGTCATTTTAAAACTTTTCTTTTTTTTTAATTTATTAATTACTTTTAAGAGTAACTTTTAGTATTCCTGGGACGATCACAACTGAAAAGCTTCTATTCTCTTAGTATTACTTTGAACTTACTATTATATTTTTATCAATTTAATTTTGGCAGTGAAGTTTTCTCGTTATTTCTTAGGTTACGTATTGTATTTAACTTTTGGGTTTTGTTTTCTGTGGCATTAATGATAGTGTAGAAATTATGTATTTTAAGATTTTTTAGGTCCTTTGGATATGTTACAATGTGGTTATTGCTTATTGCTGGCACAGATAAAACAAACTAGAAGATTTGTTTAGAATGAAAAGAATATTAAAACATCAATTCAACAAGCATTTAAAAATACATAATCTATTATTTCTCTTCAGTTGACATAAAAAGTTTCAAGTTATGATCTCTAGATTTTATATATTCATCACTGATCATTGGTACCTTTTTTCAAACCTATTCTTCCTTTAAAGAAGATATATATTTAGACTCTCATACTTGGCATAGAGTTGTTTTTCCTTTATTTAAGTGAATTGGAATTTTTACTCTTTATTCAGTCATTTTGTATATATCAAGTTTTCTGAAGTAAGAATTAGAATTTATTTTTCAGTAGGGATAAAATTTTATACCCTTTATAATATTTACTAGAAAAAACATTTTCTTTCAAAACTAAAAGAGAAAGAATTTAATCAGATCATTTCATGGTATGCTTCTTTTCAGTGTTTTTAACACTGCCTGCTTTCCTTTTCCACAGTGTTTCATAGCAGAAGGTTATCAGGTTTGGTAAAAAATTCCATGTATTAGGTACGTTTATGCCCTACCTCCTGAATTCTACCTTTCTTATTCTTTTCCTCTATCATTAGGATGGTTGGGGTCAGCCTGGTATTTTGCAGAATGGTATTATATTGATAATATAACCGGTTTAACCAAAGGATAGAAGCAACAAGAAATTTCTGAGTTTAAAGATGAGAACTAGACTCTTCCAAGTAGTAAGGACCTATGCTAAACGAAATTGTCTTAAGAAATATCTTAAGCATATAAGGGAGCATGCATAAATTAGATGTTTTATCCTTAATGTTGCTCTACATCTGTCCATATTAAATTCCATCGGTCACATTTCTACTCACAAACCATATATTGCTTCATCCAACAAAATATTCATTTTTGGCCTCAAATGTATGAGGTTCTTTCTAGGGACAGGAGATGGAATAGTCAACATTACTGACAAACTCTGTGTGTGTGTGTGTGTGTGTGTGTGTGTGTGTGTGTNTGTGTGTGTGTGTGTGTGTGTGTGTGTGTGTGTGTGTAGATAAACTGTGGGCCATGGTAATAAACTCTGAAACACACCTGGGTGTTGTTACTGACTGAGGTCACCAGCTCAGTATCATGCTCTAGGAATGGCAGCAGAATGTTGCTCATCGTCAAAAAGAGTCTCTGCAAACAAATCAGGTTATAGTATTCTGTCCTTCATATTCATCTGCCCTATGTAGGAGATTTGCTAGATACATTTTTTTTGGCCCCACATCAAAAGAACATCATGGAGAACATTTGAGTGGGTCCAAGTGAACTACTCAAACGATAGAAGATATGTGAATAGGGCATTTCAGTATAGACAGGCAAAGGCTTTGAATCAGAGTAACTGAAATTCAGATCATGAACTGTATGAAGGAAGCCCCTCTTTAGATCTTGAACAGAGTAATTTTTTCAATTAGCTGGAAGTTCCATCTGATCCTGCAAGTAATAAACTCAGAGGATTTATTACTTCAATTGATGGATATAATATAGGTAAAAAATATATAGATTTAAAAAGGGCTGGAATGAATTTATTAATGGTGAAACTACTAAAGAACTAAAAGCGAAGATGGAATTGTGCCTGTCATGTGTGGTGTGATAGATGATGATCATGTGGTACAGACCAGGGAAGGCACAGATTAGGATTAGACCATTGGGACATTTGCATGGTTTTTTTTTCTCCCAGCCCACTAGATACTTAAAATATTTTTATCCTTCAGAATATTGTGGGGGAGGGGGATATTTATATTTTCAAATGTGGCAGTCTGTTATACTTTAAGGTGCTAGTTCCTATTGATTACATGTAAGTCTTTATTTCAGTCAACACTGTAAAAGAAAATACACTTCCACTAATGTATTTTTCTCTAATAACACCTCTTTGAAACTTCTGTTTCCACTTTCTCCTCATCTTCCTAAGAAACTGATCTGTTATTGGCTTACATTTTTAGATGCCATTGCCTTTAAGTGTAGGTATAAAGCCAAAGGTTGTATTGAGACTATTTCTCTTCACTAATGTTATTGTATAATAGTAGCTCATTTATTTAAATCTTGTCTTTCCAA